CAAAAAAAAATCCCAAAATAAACCAAAAAAATTCCCAAATTAATTCTGCACCCTATGATTTTACATTATAGGGGGATAATATAGTAGCCCTAAACCCTAAACCTGAAATCCAACATAGTGAAATCAAGTTCCCTAACAGCAGCCCAGTCTAGTATCATGCTTGTGGGTGGAGAGGGGCGTCGAGGCTCTAGGGGTTTAGGGTTTTAGGGTTTCGGATTTAGGATTTAGGGTTCCAGGTGTTTAGGGTTCCATGGGGTTTGCTTGTGTACCCTCATCTGTTCGGGAGGGCTTTTGGGTCTTCGACTAATGAAGCTTGTTCGCTGGATGGCCACACTTCATATTTCTAAGGACTGTAGGAACACTTGTCGGCCAGAGAAGTGTCAAGACGGATTTTATGATGGTGATGTTTTGCATTAGAGCATCTTTCATGGGACCTTACCTCCTGTCAGTTCTAGCTGCGGAGGAGGCGGTCTCTGCTGCTGATCACAATTTCGTTTCCTTTTCTGAGATGAAGCTGGCAATATCATAAATGGTGACAGCACAGCAACAGTGCCGTTGGTGTAAGTCATGCTGGCGACGTGCTTGTGAGCATGTCTTGGCACTAGGTTCCTGATTGCAAGCCCCCCGCCAAAAGCCTCAACCCCCCCTGTTGTAGACCATGTAGAACCCTGACAAGCCTACATGTTCTCCTTCCCGGAGCCCAGATCCTTGAACACCAATGCGAGACCCATGTGGGAGTTTCTCAAAACTCAGTGCATGTAGGAGATAGTAAGGGGAATCTTAGGCTCCTTCTTTGGGATTCTACAGGGCTTATTGTAAGAAGTACCCATCTTTTGCTACTTGTGTGCTCAGGTTTACGGTATTGATCTTCCAAGGAAGGAGGACCTGATTGCTAATGGCCGGGATGAGGCCAGGGGTTATTGGCTTGCAGGGGAAGAATTAAAGTTACAGAAGCCATATGGGAGATTGTCAAAATTATGGTCCCTTTTCGGGTCCCCTAAATTAGGGCCCCGTATTATAATTTGAAAGTCCCCCATATTCTTTGCTACATATCCATTTTGTGGTAGTTCCAACTGCTCAACCGTAGCCCAGTGTAGGGGGCACGGAGAGATTGCAGATTCAGTTTGATTTTGTCACACAGGGGGGGTGGGGGTGCTTTGGTGTCAAGGGTATAGGGCAGCGTGGGTAAGGGACCCTGAAAAAGGCTTTCAGCTTCTGGGCTTCTGGGTTGCAAGCATGAGACTCTCTGATGCTGGTTTTTCTAAAGCATTTGCAAGGCATGAGCTTGGGATTATCGAAAAGCAGGGGCCCCATCTTGGGGAGTCCCTACAATCAGGCTTTTAGGATAGTCGGCCTGTCTTATAGTTACCCGTTTGTGGAACCCCTCCCAAATCCTGACTGTCGTGGCTGATGTAGCCATTTTAAGGGCATTGCTACTAGTATTGTTTTCGAGCCGCAGGGCCAGGGATCAGTTTCAGGTTTGAAGCTGTTTTTGAAGGACGGTTTGCTTCAAGCACAAGCTAGACCTAGACATGTTGAAGTTGGTGAAGACATCTTAAGGGTGGACATGAGGTTCCTTCAAGAGGACTACGTCCATGTGTATACATGTATCTATATCTACTTGCCACAGTCTCTCTGCAAGCCTCTGTTTCCTTTGAGTGAGAAGGGCCGTCGCATTTGCTCATTAAAAAAGGTGGCCGTCGTCAAGTTGATTGGAGCAGACTGGGTGGTCTATCAAGATCTCGCTGACCTGGTCGGCTCGCGGGAATGTGGGAAGGGAGTTTCTGGTCCTCGGGGCTGGGATGGTTTGAGGAATGGGATCCAAGGGTCGGAGTTGCGAGGGTCCAAGAAGTAGCGAATGAGCGAATGGAGCTGTATCACAATGCCGTTTTCTTCTGGGTTGCCTAATCATCCTCCGTCTACTATCCCTCACTAAGATGCTTGGTTTAGGTGACCCAAAAAAAGGAGCTACCTACTTGTTCCCGTGGCAATGCTTATCACTTCCGGGCAGCTAGCGCTGCAAGCCTCAAACCCCTCCTCCTAATAAGAAATCACCCGGCCCCCTCAACAATAGGTGTTCATTGGCTATTGCCCCCACTCAGAAACAGTCTAGAATAGGGGCCATGTTACGGGCTATATATATATATATGTGTATATTAGCATACGATACTTATTATCCAACTGCTACTGAGTTGGGGCAGTACCCAAAATATTCATCACCTAGTACCACTATGCAATATGGGAAGTTTGCGTATTTGGGGAATACGAGACCCTAAACCCTAAACCCTAAACCCGAAACCCTAGGGGATTTCAATTTTGAGGCCTTGGGTTGTTGTTGCTGCTTCGGCTGCAATTGCTGCTATGAAAAAGACTTCATTCTCATGCTCTGGTTCAAGGAAGAAACGCTAGGGTTAAGGTTGTATATATAGCCTCATATAACTTAGTAGCTTCCATTTTCTTGTCCATTATTCCCTATAGTAGTCTGCCATATAGCCCCTATTGTTGTTTTTGATTTCTCATTCAAATGCGGAGTCAATGTGTAGGCATCCATGGCCGAGAGGGCTGGGGATGTGATCCAGCCATGAACCTAAACCCTAAACCCCAAACTCTAAACCCTAAAGCCTAAACTCTAAACTCTACATAGATCCGAAAGTGTGTAGAAGCAGTACAGCAGCTTCCGCGAGTTACGCCTTCAGTCTACCCGGTGCTCAGTAGTCCCTACCCCAAAGCGACCATAATTTTTGGCAACCTGCCATATAATGCTAATAGTAAGCCCATTCTCTGCTAAGTACCAGGGAGTTTTGAGCTTGGCCAGCGGCAGCAGGGGAATTCTGCCGTGATGTATACGCGTATGTATATTACATATGTATATATACAAAAGGAAATGTGTTGGTATATCTGCACGCATTTTTTATTTGTATTTTAGTTCTTTCTCTAATCACAGAAGCTCCGCGTCCATTGGACCATGCAAGCTCCCAGCCCCAAGCCTCGTAAGCATGGGGAAGCACCAAGCCACTTACCAGAAACGAAGGACTCGCTGATTGTAGTGGAGAACGAAGAACTGAACAAGGACATTTAAACTACAATATTCTCGTGTATTATAGAGGGGCTACCACAGGGATCCGTTCCTCTCTTCCTGACCAACAACTCTAAACCCTATATGAACACCGTACTTTGTGCCCACACACCCACCATTTGCTATGCAGGATTACGCATAGCAGCATGGTGGGCACGCGCCGGCCTTAAGGGCAACCGGCATCCTTTCACACCTTAGACGGTAGCTTCATGTTTTTCGACTCCCCCATTCCTTGCTAACAACAATTAAGCCAATCCTAATCCCTATGTATCGCTATGAACCCTCAGTTTCTATTTGATTTTCTGTCGCCAAACCCAAAACGAAGGTGGAGTGCGTTCGCGGCCTCAACCCCGACCGACTCCGCTTTGGCTTTGATGCATCGGTCTTCGATGGCAGGTACATCACAGGAGCATGGGCTTAGGGTGGTTAGTAGTGAATGATGGAATGGCCAAGAAAATGGCAAGTACAATATTCTAGCGGCCACATAGGAACTGCTAAGGGAAATTCTGGCTCCAGGAAGCCTCTGTGGTGGTTTGCCATCATGACTGATTTTTTTGTATTCATAATTTCGTTGTGCGAATGCCCAGTGCGGAAACTCACGCCCTGCAATTTGTCGGCAATGCTTTTCTAGGGATCTCGGCAATCTGAGATGGGAGTTTTCATACATGAAATTGTTTTCGTGTTCCGTTTTCTAGAAACATCACTGCAGTATGTTAGAGTGGCCCCTTTTGTAAAGAAACTACCACATGTGATCTGCTCAGTCTCGAAGCCACAACAGCAGGAGACATCGACCAGAGGCACGGCATTATATTGATAAGATTCAGGGCGTTCAGCTTCCTTGGAAGAGAAATCTGAGTGCACGTATGTGGCTTGTCCCGCTCAATGTTGTAATCACATTTTTGCGGGGGATTGTAGGAGCTTCGGATCTATTCGGAAGCTGAAGTTACACACCTTGCATATCAACACCAGAGTTCTCAAATCTCAAGGCCCCAAACTCTGAACCCTCAAGTCGAAATCTGGGTTGCTGTTAAGGAACTTAAATAAAGTTACCATAATGGGTATATATACTAAATAATGGGGTTTCCCCAATATAGTAACTTGAATTAAGTTCCTTAACAGCAACCCAGAAATGGCAGGTTCTTCGAACAGCAGTCTCGCCGTGACCAAATGCAACAGACCCCGAGCCTCTCCGTCCCGATTGGCGTCTCCCAATCTGTGCACCTGGGTTCAATCAAATGGAAACTACTATTGTATATTGGGGTGTTATAGGGATAATGGAAAATAAAATGGAAACTACTATTGTATTTTGGGGTGTTATAGGGACAATGGAAAAGAAAATGGAGACTACTATAGTATATTGGGGTGTTATAGGGATAATGGAAAATAAAATGGAAACTACTATAGTATATTGGGGCCTTGCAGCTGTTTGATCTTGTGCCTGTTGGTGTGGTAGCGTTTTTCAAGTGGGTCATCAAGGATTATGGCAGCATGAGGGGCTTCAGGATGAACCGTTTCGTCTGAATCCTTCCAGAGTCTGGACCCCAAGACCCCTAACCTCCTGAGACAGACATCTCGTAGATCCATCATCCTTCTCAAAGGCCTCCTCCACGAAGCTCGGAGAAGTGTACACCATAGCATTTGGACTTAAGACTGTCCTGCATTGTTCCCATGCCCTAGACCTTGAATTTCGCATCCGAACCCTCAACCTGCCCTAGACCTTACCCATACTTCAAGTTGCCCTTCTTGAGCAGTAGTAGGATGTATGTTTCCCAAGAGAACCATTCTCCAGAAGCTTACGCGAGTATTTTCAGCAACATTTTTGGAGCCCTACATACAGTGGATCCGTGTATATCCCAAAACCCTAAACCCTAAAACCCTAAATCCAAACAACCATGTCAAACCCAAAAAAGCTTTGGATTCTGCGGAGCCATGCGCCCATGCTGCAGCAGCCGCCCGCCACGCAGCCCTTCGAGTTCTGAAAGAAGAAAGTCAAACAGCCAGGGATGGACCCAGAACCAACAAGAAAATGAAACCGCCAGGGATAGACCCAAAGACCAACAAGAAACATTGAAACAACCAGGGATGGACCCAAAGACCAAGAAGAAAGATTAAGCAGCCAGGGATGGACCCAAGAGCCAACAATAAAGGTGAAGGAGCTAGGGAAGAACCTAAGGACCTACGAAAAAAAATCAACTCGGGGCTTCGGGCAATGCGTACAGGGTTCGGACTAGGCTTTGCTTCATACGCTTGGAATGATGTACAAGGTAAACTCTGCTCAGAAGGGTGGAGGCCATAATCGAGAGTTTGCGTGGGGTTTGAACGTATGGCTTGTGAATTGAACACAAAGCCCTTGCCTGCGCAACCCCAAACCCCCAACGAGCCCTCTCAGCTTCGCATTCCGGCCCGCCAGGCTTCTTGTAATAATATAGGGCTTTGCCTAAACCATAGACCCCGAGCTTAAAGCCTAAACCTTATGAGCTTTCGTTACAGGGGAAGACCAGAAACACTTGGACATTGAGGAGGGTAGCAGAGCGGAGGTTGGGACTGATCACGATAAAGTGGTGCTGGCCATTGGCATCAAGGGTAAGAGCTGCAGCAAAAAGGGAAAGCTGAGAGGAGGGCCCAGGATGGTCTCCCGAACGCCACCACCCATCAGCGAAATCACCACCACTCCGCTCCAGCAGCTTGCCCGGACACACACCAAACCTATCAGCCGAGGACCCAAATTCAGGAGTAGTGCGGCTGTCAAGCACCTAAAAGAAAGAGCACCGCATTCAAAACAAGCAGCAGGTTCAAGGAATATCTCAGGGCACTGAGGGCGGAAAGGGTTACATGGAAAAGCGAGAGGCTCCAGATAGCATGCTCAGATTGGAAGCTCTACAAGAAGATCACGAAGCCAGCCAAGCCATGGGGTGATGACATCCAACCCAGCACAAGACATTGCCAAGCATTCTGAGGAAGTGTTCCATGACGCCAACCAAAAGGGTATTTTGAGGTACTCAGTCGGCTTGCAAACTCGGTCGTCCATGATGCAGAGTTCCAGCCGTTCAGTGAGGAAGAAGTGGCACAGGCGATCAAGAAGGGGAAGAGGGGGCGATCGGTTGGGCCGGATGGAATCCCAACCGAACTTCTGCAAACCATGATCTCCTGTCCTACTTCTCTGACGGCGTTGACGGACTACTCTAATGGGATCCTCAGGTCGGGGGATGTGCCACAGGAATGGGACCAGTCGGTCGCGATCCTCATTCCAAAGCTCTCATCGCCGAAGCTCCGCAAAGACCTTAGACCGATTGCTCTGGCGTCGCGTGTGAGCAAGGCGTTCTCGAGATTCATTCTACGCAGACTGAAATAACAATTGAGGCCGACGCAAGGGATGCAGTTTGCCATGAGGGGACGCCAGCCATCAGAGTTTGCATGGACGGCGTTGCAGGTGAGCGCGGGAGTGGACGTACCAGCTTACCTTCTCGAACGCGACTTGAAAAGAGCCTTCGATTCCTTACCCAGGGAAAGATTCGCGGTGAGGATCATTGAGTGGTGTGAGGGAGAGAGACAGTTTGAGTGCCGGTGCTGGTGAGATTGCCTGCAAGTGCAGATGTTACACTCTGCTTGTCGTGGACGCAGTGCACTATTGATCCCAGCACAGGAGTTAAGCAAGGTGCTACGGAAAGCCCATTAATCTTTGCCAAGCTCATGGACACGGTGCTGGGTCGGTAGGACAGGAACAGGGGGAGATTCTGGCTGGCATGAACACCACAAAATCATGCTTTATGGATGACGTTTTGGCGTGGATGTCCAGTGTGCAGGCAATGCGGGTGATGCTTGACAGTCTTCTCCCCAAACTGGCCTTTTACAGACTGTACGTCCAGCCGCCGAAGTGTAAGCTGTTATGCCTCAATGGACCCGGAAATCTACATCGATGGGGTTCCCCTGGTGTCGATGAAAGACGGGGAGGCGCTCATGGTAATCTCCCCATCTCGCTGGGGGCCACAGAAAGTATCATCATGGAACACCTTATCGAAAAGGCGCGGCTGAAGTTTCTGGCCGTCCTCCCCGTCTCACCTCCAAGGCTACCCTGGGTCGTCGCCTGAATATCCTGGGCACGGCAGTCTTCGGGTCGATGCAGTGGACAGTGAGGGCCCTGCGCCCCAGCTTGCAGCTGCAACGATACCTGAACTTTTTCCACTACAACTGCGTAAGGAAAATGATGGGTCTCCAAAGGCGCGGGGGGGAGGGGTGAGCAGCGCGCACTGAGGGTGGCACGAGCCGTGGTCTACATGCAGGGTTGGGCAGGTAGGGAGACAGGCATGCTACTGCGTTCTGGCAGTTCACGGGGCATGGGGTGAGGGAGGGAGTGGAAAGGGATTGCCCCACAGCATCTGGAAGACTGTCCAGCTATAGAACACTAGAGTGGTGGGAGGGACACGAGCGTTGACCACAGGAAGCAGACACACACACACACCACTTCCCCCACTTGATGAATATCGAGCGGGCTATCAAGATGGTAGTAGGAAGCAGTTAGCTGCGCTCAACAGACAACAGTGGCAAGGGTTTCTTCACAATTGGCTGCAGCATGTCTGTATTCCATGGAGTTCAGGAAGGCAGTTGTCATTGGAACACTAGGAAGTGTTGCTGCGTGCGGATGATCGGCTTCAGCTGAGATTACTCGCAGTAGGCATCTCCTGACGTGACGGTGTCTCCAGTGCCGTAAGTGCCCATGGTATACTTCATGTTTGTGGCGGTCTTTCTTGGCGTCGGTGTCACCCAAGGAGTTGCTGACGGACCAGGAGGACTCCGCTTCCAGGGTGAAGGTTGTGCAGAACATGCCCGTGGCCCCTCAGTATTCGCCTTCCGGAAGCACAACATCATAATTCCAAGCAAGGATGAGAGCGGGTGCAGGACTGGCTCGCGGACAACCTGAATGCAAATAAGGCAAGAAGGACGACACTGAGGTGAGCTGCGAGGACTTGAAGGAAGAGCGCCCGGGAGAGAAGGACGAGAATGCCCTCATGCAGCGGAAGAGAGCTCGGAGCCCAAGCCTTTGAAAAGGGGGCCAAACTCGAGCACGCCGGCGTCCACACCGGTCAAGCCGCCGTGGCGAGGGACAAGCAACAGGCGCGCAAGAGGGATTTCCAGCGCTGCGCCGGCTGGACCATCGAGAGCACCGACAAGCTCGTGATCAGCAAGTGTTCGCACGGCCTCTGCGATCCCTGCACCTGCAGGGTGTGAACTAGTGGAGCAACTTGACAGGAATGACACATCCGTTCGAGCCAGAGAGGAATACCATTTTGTCGGACGAGCAGGTCGCCGTCATCCGAGAGAACGTCGCGGGCCTCGGTAAATCAGAACGAGGACTGGCCTTTGGACAGCTCTTGGTCTTTGTGCGGGCCTTTCTCGCTGAACTGCTCAGAGATGTGGACCTCATGAGAATGGAGGAGCAAGCGGACAAGACGGATGAGGAGAGGTTCATGCAGACAGCCATGAGATGAGGGAAGGGTAAGAAGGAGAGGGAGACGGAGGTGGTTACGCTCATGGTGGACAGAGTGGCGCCCTTCAGTGTGGCCCTTACCAAGCTGGAGGGACAAGACAAAGTCAAGTCCTCGATGTCAGCTAACTGCCTCCTGGGCATAGTGGACCAGTTCAAGCAAGCCCGGAAGCAGGGTCTGACACCGCGGCAAAGGACAGACTGGCCAGGCTTGAAGCACTCCCGGCTGCTTTCCAGGATGGGGAGGAGAGAGCGCAAGGAGTAGTTAGCAACTGGTGTGTCAAGCAATGGTTCGCCATGTTGGAGTGTGGCAAAGGTACCAGATCCAAAAACAAGCTGAACAAGCCCGGCAGCAGGAAGACAAAGAAATGGCGGAAGCTCTGGAACGCAGTGGGAAAAGAACAACGATTCAAGAGGGTCAAGGTTGTGGTTATGATTGGGGACAACCAAGGCAGGGAAATCGCAACAGGAGTAGTGAAGGGCAAGTCGGATGCAATGACAAGCGAGCAGACGGTCGAAGATGTGGACATGGATGACACAGAGACGGTCGTGGCCCCGTCGGCCACCCCAGCAGAACTGTTGCCAGAGATGCTGCCTGGAGTGGCAGAGGTGATGAACAGTAAGATCGGCGCCTCCTGGTACCAACGTTATCGCAGCGGGGGCTTCACGGATGACATGATCTTGAGACGTTGTGGAGCTGAAGTGTTAGAAGCATTTCAAGCATGTGCGGCCACTGAGTTGGCCCAGAAAGCTGGTGTGCATATGGATGCAGAACTCGTAGATGTGGTGAACGATGGAAAGACAGAACTATGTGGACCTGCCGGTGAAGGTTCGGGAGAGGCACGTGGCGAAGGAGGCCGGGAGCCAGCAAAGGATGGACATGCGGCAAACTATGGGGGGCAGGGCGGTGCGGCGGTCCTCGGCGTGGACGAGCCCGAAGCGAGCCTGGCTGCTGCAGAAGGTGCGGCAGGCTATATCCCGACACAATGTCGGGCTAACAGTACGAGATCCATGCCAACACGGTGGAGAGCGGTGCTTCGTGCGTGGGATGACCTGGCAATCGGTGCAGGGCTACCAGGATCAGGCAGAGACTCCGTTGGCGTGGCTGCAGTGGAAAGCATGTCCTGTGATGTAGCCAGTGGTGGTATGGCGGCAATAGATGCAGGACCAGGTGCTGAGATTGGAGTCCCATTGCTGCGTGCAATGCTGTGGCAGGGGATATTTTCTTTTGCAAGGTGCCTGAACATTGGGTCCCGCTGCTACATGTGGTAGAGGCTGATTTCTTTTGCATAGGTGGATCTGTGGTTGCCCGCTGCGATTTATATGCTGGAGGTATTGTCCACCCTCTCAGATTGGTCTTGTGCTAATGGCCATGAGGGTGTACGTCCCTTTGCCTGCGCTTGCCCTTTCTTGCCAAGGACTGTGCAGTAATGCATCTTTACTTTACTCGTGCCATGGAGAAAAGGTCCAAAAAACACTAAAACCCTGAACCCAAACACCCTAAACCCTAAGCCCTAAAACCCTGAAACCCTAAAACCCTAAACCCTAAACCCTAGTCCGAAACCTTAAACCCCCCTTTCATTCGGCCCCTTGTTTGAAGACGGAGCTCCAAGGTCAGAGCTTGATGAGCAAGTCTTACATCGCTTGTCGGGCCAGGGCGCAGAGATGATCTCCATGTGAGCAACCGACAATATTAGCGGTTTAGGGTTTAGGGTTTAGGGTTAAAGGACGCTTAACAATGGATATAAAGGTTCGTCTTGTAGCTTCGTATGTCCCTACTATAGTCCCTCATAAGGAACCCACGTCCATTTATTACCTGGTAATATTGACCATAGCTCATGTGAGCCATTTTCTAAACTCTCAGTTTCCGTCTTGATAACCTATAGTAGTCCAGTATAGTGTCCCGTATATATATACTTATCCCCCAGATCATGTGAGTTCAGCGCGTATGTCTAGGGTTTATTTTAGGGTTCTAAGTGCAGGCCTACGGGTTAAGGTTTATGGATTCGGGTTTAGAGTTTTGGTCAAGGGTTAAGGGTGTAGGGATGTAGGCATGTTTCAAAATTGACGCCGTTTGTCACCTAGGGACATATAGGATTACATGGTTTTTTGGATTTTTATTGCGGAGTATATAGGGTGAATTTTGAGATGCTCCCACGTTGTTCTTGTGAGTATTAGTATGAGTATTCGTGCTCGTGCTGGTATTCGAGTTTTCGTCATTGCTATCATGAGTATGCGTTGCTAATCCTTTCTTCATGCAATAGAATCGAATACCTTTATCAAACTTTCTGCTCTCAATGTTCTTGCGCGCACAGGGTGAGGGCTTCGCTGCACTTTGTTGTTCTGCAAGAATGAATGTTATAGAGTGTGTATGGGATTATGTTGGGACTATCTGATGCAATTTTAGGGCCATTGGCCTGGTCGTAAGGAGGAGTGTTGTCTTACTGTGAGTATGGACAGATGATTGTAGATATCGGGTTGTGCAGGATTCTGAAGGGCTTTAGGTGAAGATCGTATTCCGGTGGATATGAGAAGCTTCACCACGGCTTGTTTGCGGTCGCGGTCATGAGACTGTGAGGGGCATCTCAAAGCGTGAAGCCCATGATTGTGTTTGCTTGTTTAGCGCGCCTTGGAGGATGCTCACATTGCGTGTAGCGGAAAAATGGACTGCAAGCATGCTTGGAGTGACTTGTGCCAGGATTTTGCCGCAAAAGATCCTGAAAGGTGCTGATGTAGGTACTGTAGCCAGAGGGTTTGGCCGCGAATCAGATTTTGGACATGTCGCGCTCGCGCTGTCAGTGCGGGTTTGCTGGCGCCTGCTAAGATGAGCTTTGTACAGGCAGTGTAGATTATCCCGCTGTCTCCTGTGGTTGCCCAGCCGTCCTGTAGAGAGAACTTAAGAAGTAGTGGTTTTGTTCCGGAAAAACCCTCACTTCTCCATTATCCCTATATAACCCCAATCAAATGGGTCTGAGCTCTACACCTTGCACCCTGGATCAGGAGCCCTGACCTAAAACTGCAAACCTCAGACCTTGAGATTGAACCCACAGTACCAACCTGTCTTTTTTCGCCTAATTATGGGATTTGTGGACTGAGCCGTTTTGGTAGGGAACGAAGGAATGGATCCTTACAGTAGTCCTTGTATCACTTGACAGCCCTCAATAGCTGTCCCTACATCGCATTGTGCCCTTTCCTATTCCAAGCCAACCTGTGATGCATTGATTTTCCTGGGTCCCAAACAGCGCACCGCCTGGAAAGACCCATCGGATCGACCGTGCTGGTAGAAATTTCTTACACTGTACTCTTAGAAAATCATAATCCCGCAAGCCCTAAACCGCCTAAACCCCAACACTATAGTTTTTTAGGAATTTCTACAGGCCATCAGACATTTTGGCCGCTCCTTGAGATCAGAAATTTTCAAAATTAGAGGCCCAACCACCTTAAACCACCTATCCCTTGGTTGCAGGCTCACTACGTGCCCCATGCACGCTGGAGTCCCATGGCTCATGCTTGAGGAAACCTTCCAAAGGCAACAGTAGTGGCTTGCTTGCACAACGTTGAGCTTCCTTGTCCTCTGCTTTACTTATCGTGGGATAATGGAAAAGAAAATGGAAACTACAATAGTATAATGGGGCGTATGAGGAGGTAGGGTTGTTTGTTATTATTTTTTTTTTTTGTTGTTGTTGTTGTTGCTGCTATTATTGTTTTTATTAAGGGCTCTGATGGGGACAAGGGCAGTAGTCATCGTGGTCCTGCTTCGGGCATTCATGCCGGGACTTGTGGATTGGGCACTTTGAGCTCATTGCTTCTTCATATTCTTTCTGTTAGAGGCTTGGGAGTTTAGGGCGGTATCGGGTAGTCGTCCGCGTTGGAAGCCCAAATGAGCTAAAGTCTAAACCCTCTGAAGGGGGGTGTATAGGGGCTTATCTTGGGGGTATTGTTGGGGTTGTTAAGGGGGATGCCAGGAGTTTGTCTATAGCGCCTCTGCATGAGGCCAGAAGCCTGCTCCCGTACATTCACCCTACAATCTGACATCCTAAGGCCTAAGCTGATGATCTTAGCAAGGGTAACCTCAAAACCATGAGCCTCAAAACATACAGCAGTTTCCATTTGCTTATCCATTCCCTTACCTTCTTTTGTATATCCTTTTTCTGCGGGGTACATGCATGAAATCCCGAAATCAGATCTTTTGGAGACTTCAAACGTCTTGCGGCTGGGGAATCTACGTCCCAAATTCATGCGGCCGTTTACATTCGCATAAAGAGGGTCTCAGCGTTTTGGAGAATTAGGGGATTGGATTTCGGGAATTTGAGGGTAGATTAAGCGAATTTTGGGAATATTTGGGGACCCTATACCCTACCCTCAAACGCTTAAGCATAACCTTAAGCTGTGAATCCCAAACCCGTCGAAGGCCGGCTTGCGTCTGTAATACTGCGTCCTATACTCTACATTCTCTATCCCAACGCGCGCAGGACTAGGGGTGCTATCGCGGTACTGTACTGTACGGGCCTCAACAGTTGGAATAAGGATTTGGGGTGTACTCCCTTCCTTCGAATACTGACCCGCCACCTCCTAACAAGAAACTCTATCATCGAGGGACTATTTGTCATCTGTCCGGCGGTTTTGATGTGGGGAGGGGATTTTGAAGTATGCCTATGTGCGGGCTACTTGGGAACAATTTACAAATTATTCGCGCTTCTAGGCTGATTAGTAGGGAATAAAGGAATATATTACATAGGGAGTGTTTAGTGATTATTTTCCCTTATTCCCTACTACCAACCCTAAACCCTGCAAGCGCCAGGCC